CATAATAGTACACGCCTGAATGAGTAAGAAATGGTCCCAACTGTGTGTCCACAGAGGGGAATATGCCAAGTGCTGCTAAAACAGAGCTGACTTTTTTTTTCACTACTTATTATTTAGCTGTCTCTGTGTGTTCTAGATACTTTACACTCACTGATTTACTTATTCCCCATAATAAATCCAGTGTAGAGGGAAACTGAGGCACAGAGCGTTTGAGTCACTTGCTCAAGCATTGGAGTTAAGATCTAAGCCTAGAAACTCCAGCTCTAGATTCCCTGCACTTAACCACCCTAGTAAGCTGCCTCTCTGTTAGTTCAAAAAGATTAAAACACCGAAAAATCCGTGTCGAGGTTATTAATACTAAAATAGTTTTGTGCCACAAGCAGTGACAACTTCTCAACCATGGGGATTCCAGATGGGAAGGGCATATGGATGGATAGGTGAGTTTTGTATCAGTCGACATAGTTAATTATTAGGTATTTTGTTAGTCCCCAGGAAAATAGGCTCTGGATCATTAGCCCCTCAAAGAATATACGTTATTGCCAAACATGAGTCCTCGTGATTCATGTGCCTCATTGCCATGATGGATGGATATTTTTGCCCACTCTATGTTTAGCTCCTTCAACTTTTGTTGTTGTTTTATTAAATGAGATAACTTTTAGAAGTGTCTGCATTCTGGTCCCCTTCTTCTGAATTTTTTCTAGTTCATAAACACATTTCCTAAAATGAGGCACTTATTGTTCAACATAGTACTTCGGAACCGGCCTCTCTGGTGACCTCTGAATTCTTATATCCAGGTATCTACCCAGCATCTCCACTGGGTGTTTAATGGATATGCCATGTATTCTTGGCCTTTCTTCTCCAAATGGCCAAATTCTCTGTGATGGTGTTTGGTCCTGGGGTGGTATCTCCTTTGGGGAAAGACATAGTTAATTATTAGATATTTTGTTAGTCTCCAGGAAAATAGGCTCTGGATCATTAGCCCCTCAAAGAATATACATTATTGTCAAACATGAGTCCTCGTGATTCACGTGCCTCATTGCTATGATGGATATTTTTGCCCACTCTATGTTTAGCTCCTTCAACTTTTGTTGTTGTTTTACTAAATGAGATAACTTTTAGAAGTGTCCGCATCCTGGTCACCTCTCTGGTGACCTCCAAATTCTTGTATCCAGCTATCTGCCCAGCATCTCCACTGGGTGTTGAATGGATATGCCATGTATTCAAAGCTGAACTCTTGGCCTTTCTTCTCCAAACCTGTTCTTCCTCTAATATCTGTAGCTCAGTAAATGATACCTCTGTTTACTTAGTCACTAGCTCTGGCCCAAGTCCTCCAGTCATTCTCGATTTGTATCTTTCAAATCTATCGGCAAATCCGAATTGATTTACTTTGAAAATATATTCCCAATCAGTGCCCTTCTCACTCGCTTCATTGCTGCCCACCCCCACCCCAGGCGCTGTCATCTCTCGCTCGGACGACTGCAAGAGCCTCAAAACTGGCTTCTCTGCTTCCACACGTGTCTCCTTGCAGCCCGCGCTCCATACAGGGGCTGGAATGACCCTCTTACTTTAATCAGATCATGTTTCTCAACACTCCAAAGATCTCTCACTTAAAATGAAATCCAAAATCCTTGTCATGGTGTCCCAGCTACTACTGCTGTGTATGTAACTCACTAGGCCAAAATGCAGCCATTTAGAACAGCCATTGTATTATACTCATGGATTCTGTGGGTTGATTCAGACAAGGCATAGTAGGCATAGCTTGTTCCTGTCTGAGGCCTTAGCTGAGAACGTGTAACGGCTGGGGCTGGAATCATCTGAAGGGTTATTTAGTCACATTTCTGGCACTGAATTCAAGTCTAGGGTTGCAGACTTGTGGGTGGGAAGGGGAGATTCCTGCGCCCTCTACGTGTGGCTGACTCTCTCACAGCGTGGGAGCCTCAGGAAAGTCACATTTGTGAATATTTGTGTTTGAGCAAACACAAATATTCCACCGAACAAGACAGAAGTCGCATCCTCTTTTATGACCCAGCCTCTTTTATGACACAGTCACTTCCATCATATTCTACTAGTCCAAGCAATCTTCAGTCCACCTGGAATCAAAAGGAGGGGACAAAGACCCTACCTCTACATGAGAAAATTATGAAAGAATTTTGGGGTGATATCTGTGAACAAGCCACACATGGCTCATGAAGTCCTGTGTTATCTGGGCCCTGGCTGCTTCTCCCACCTGATTTCTTACCACCCTTCCCGTTGGTAATTTAGGTCATTTTATTGGCTTTCTTGTTGTTTTTGAAGACATCAAGCATATCTCCATCTCTGACCTCAGGGTCTTGCTGTTCTTTCTGCCTAGTCGGCTCTTTCTCGATATATCCATATTGTTTACTTCCTGCCTTCACGTAGGCCTTTGCTCAAATGTCCATCCTTTCAGAGAGGTCTTCCAGACCTCAAATTGCCTCTCCTCCCATCGCCCCCATCCCACTTTATTTTTCTTCATAGTATTTAATCACAGTTTATTTGTTTCCTTTTCCATGTTGAATCGCCAGCATCAAATATGTACTAAAAATTTTTACTGAACGGCTGAATGGAGGTGAGGCCTAATCAGCACATACGCTGCAACTCTGTGACTATTTCTCATGATTATACTGCATCTTAGATTAGGGCAAAATCATGTCAGTGTTTTTAGAAGTTCTGTTGGGCTGCTTTACTTTGTGGAGAATTTTAGCGTCATCTTAAAACTTGAAGATTTTACAGTAAATTTACCTTTCTGAGTCATTTAATGTCAAATTAGGCTTTCAGAAAAAAATTAAATTCCTGGACCCCCTACTGTTTATTTTCTATTTAGGGAATTACAAGCTTATTCTTGCCTTAACTCAGTTTTCTCTTCACAGTAATAGTCAGGCTCTCTGTAACCATGATGTCTCGGGGTGCCGCTACGACAAACAATAATGTGATCATGGCAATGTATTTAATCTAAGAGGATAAGTTTCTTGGGAATAACAATCACAATATTTCCTCTTCCCTATATTCAACAGCTGCATTTTATTTGCTTATTAAACGTTATTCACACAGCACCTACTGTGTGCCAAGCACTCTTCTATGTGCCTTACAAATATGAACTCGCTTAATCCTCATAATAGTGCTGTTAGGTGGGCACTATCATTTTTTAGCATTTCATCTCATAGTCATTGAGTAGCAGCTATATTACAGATTGTCATGATAAGCTGATGGAGCATTTGTGTTGTTTTAATATTCACAGGTGAGAATGTAAAACACATGAGTTTAAATGCAGCAAAAGTTTCATTAGGTGAAGGAAGAACTCTTTAACTCTTGAGGTCATTCATCATTAAAATATGTTATCAGAAGTCTCTGAAATATATTTTCTTGAAAGCTGTTTGGAAACAGAATAGACAGCCTCAGGTGGCATAGGTGTCATAGGGTTTGGTTTAGTCTACTGGTTCCAAAGTCTGACCGTGTCAGGATCCCTTGGATAGAGTTTTTTAAAACACAACTGTATTAATGTATAATTGACCTACTATGAATTGCACGTATTTCAAGTGTAATTTGATAAGTTTTGACTTCTGTACCTTATGTATATGCTCATGAAGCTATCACCACACTCAAGACAATGGACGTATTTATCATCCCCCCAAAGTTATCTCGTGTCCCTGTGTAGTTTTTCTCCCTAGGTAACCGTTATCTGCTATCTGTCACTGGAGGTTGATTTGCACTTTTTAGGATTTTATGTAAATAGAATATCCTTTTTCATCGGGCTTCTTTCACTGAGCATATTTCTTTTGAGTTTTATCCA